TGGGGAGAAGCAGGATGAAGAAAGGGAGCAATGTCAGTGCAGGACTGAGCTGGAGATCACACCTGCCTGCAGTGCTGTCCTCCCTGCAGCTGGGAGACAAAATTACCACAGAAATAATCTGCTGTTCCTGTGCTCTGACGTGTCCCCTGTGTGCTGAGTGTAGAACCACAGTTCCTGGGGAGGTTCTTCTGTTTTTTCTTAATACAAGGTGCCAGACTTGACCTTATACATGACAGGTTGTCCACACCTCAATATAGGTCTGATCTCACAGTACACAGACTGCAGTTCATGTACAACATGCTCCAAGATTAGTATTTCCTGGCTTGGGAGAGACACTGTAGGCTTGTCTCAGCCTTCATTTCCTTCTGCTCCTCCCTTCCTGTGCTCTTAAAGGAGGTGGGAAGAGGAAGAATGTGAGTAGGGGAGAAACACCGTAACAAGACTTTGAATACAGGGGTGTCAAAAGATGTTGAAAAAACAATCTGTGCCCAGCTGTATCTGACACATAAAATGTTATGCTACATTCTCTTTCTGCCAATACTCTTCACAACTGTTTTGTGTAGATGTGAAATGCATTTAATGTAATTTAAATACCATATATAACCTATGAACTTGCTTAGTTTTGCAAGGCCTTGCAAGACAATGTAATCAGAAAGGGTTAGAAAAATGCCCTGTAAACAAGGCTGGATGTTTGTGGGTATTTAAAAAGTCTCCTAAATTGGCTTTATATCTGAATTTTTCATAGAATGCTATTCTTATGAGCTTGATTCTAGACTTGAATTTGTTTTCTCTAGTGTTGGCCTGTGATAATTTTCCACAGTAAAAAGCAACAAAAATTTGTGAAATCTTTATCTTGGAGACAAGCTTGAGATCACTTTCTGGGGCAGTTTTCCAGTATGTTCTCAAGAACAAAGTATCTTGAAATGGACTAACCAGTTTATTTTCAGACTACCATTGCCCTCTAGTGTCTTCTGGTTTGGATAGAAAAGAATTAATCATTTATGCTGTGCTGCTGATACTACAGAGGGGAGAGCAAAAATATCAATATTTGCTTTAGTTGCCTTTGCCGAAGTTCAGACAAGAATGCAGATATTTTCAAATATTAAGTTTGCTCACTGATCTTTTAGGTGGACCTTGTTAATGCTAAAAGAACAGTTATGCTAAGAGAGTTTGCCAAAAAAGAGCAATGATTTTGTTTAGGTCAAATTTGAAATAAAGTACCTGGTAATCTTTTGTCATTAAATAAACTATACCTGAAAGGAAAGGGTGTTCTTGCTTTGGGGAAACCCTTCCTTGCCTTTGATATTTGTACCCATTTGCTTCCAAAATACTTCACGTGGTCTTGCTAACTCTGCCATCAGTAGCAGCTACATTCTGAGGGTTGGATGCTGCTCATTTTACAGCTGTGCTTGGAAAATAAAAAGCAGTACATAAAAATCTGTGGAAAAAAAACCCAAGGAGTGGCTTAGAGCTGAGGACAGAGAAGGAAAAGGAAATGGAGGGAGTTAAATGAACAGTACCAGTAGTATTCTTGCTGTGGATCTCCCTGAGTCTTGGGAATAATATTAGTTTGGTTTTTTTTGTGTTTTTTTTTCATCCACTCACAGATTATTCAGTGATGTCCTGCTAACAAATTCGGAGAAACCTCAGTTTAAGGTAGAGTTGAGCACTAATTTGCTGATCTTTGTGGAAGTGCCACGCTGTGGGTAAGCTATTTATCGATAAATAGGGTAGAGGAGAGCTGGCTTTACTTGGCTTTATGGGGATTGCATCAGTATTTTGGACTCCTTTGATGAATTGTACCCAAGAATGTTACATCACCCCTTAGAAGGGGGACACAGTGTGACCCATGTTCAAGTGTAATTCCTGTGCTGGAGCTAATTTGTGACTGGTGGTGGTGCTCTATCTAAGTGGAGGCTGCTAAGTAATGTGGGTCCCTTGCAGTGAGAGGAAACAATTAGCTGAGACCTTTGGAAACTTATTTTGCTGGGTGACACCCTCAGCACATTGTTGCCAGCTCCAGTGCTGGGACTTTCAGAGAGTCACATCTGCTCCCACTGGGGAGCTTCCCTAGAACACTGGAAGGGCATGTGCTGTCTGTGTCCTGTTGCTACCATCTTGGCATTTTAGGGGTGTGACCAGAATATCAAAGTTCACTGTCCCTGTTGTTAAGAGTATCCCTTCCATTATTCAGTGTTTCTTTGTCCTTGCTGTTAGGTCTGTAGCTGGGTTTTGGGTGGAAAACATGCACCTAGAGTCTTCATTTCTCCTTCACTAAGGGAATAGTGTCAGAACTTGGGACTTTAGATGGACAACATAATCAGATGGGTGGTGAGTTTTGAGCAGTGAAGTCATGTTTCCCTTTATTGTGTTTTGTGCTATAATTTCTTTTTCCCCATTCTGTATTAGATTCCTACTAAGCTAAAAGAGGCACTGAAGGCTTCCAAGGAGTGCACAGAAAAACGATTAACAGAAGAACAGAAATTGGTAACGTCTGCATTTCCTTCCTTTATTTCCTACAGACATTCCATTTCCTCTTACCACTTTTACAAGGGGAAAGTGAGTTTTTACTCAGAGTGATTTTGAGTAATAAAGGCTTTCATCAATGGGTTTGATTTCTCTAAAATGTAGTATAAGGAATTGTAGAACAGGTGTTGACTGTGTGGCATTTCACTGTTTTAAGTGATGCAGCTTCACAGCCAGTGGCTTCTAAATCAAAGGATCATTTTAGCTGCACTATCAGGCTCCATCCTCTACCAGCAACAGTAAAGATAAAAAATAAAAATGAAAAAATAAAACTTAGCATGTCATGTGACTGCAGTGTGTTTTCCTGCACCTCAAACATGTGCCTTTTCTGAGAACATTTAAGCTCATGGTTTTTTTTTTTCTGTTTTCCCTTTGATCTAAAGATTCACCAGCACAGAAGGCTGACAAGAGCTCAATCTCATCATGGCTCTGAAGAAGAAAAAAAGAAAAGGAAAATCTTAGCACGAAAAGTAAGTGTCCTTTAAATAGGTTTCTCACACAGAAAAAGACATGTATCTTTTTTGAATGTTTAGCATGCACAGCCACAGGTATGTTTGCCTGTTCTTTCCTGTGTGTTTCTGTACTACTTCTAGATTATTTTCACTTCTGTAGCTAATCAATACACTAAGGAGTTTAAGTTACAGTGGTAGCTGACTTGCATGTTGGTTTAACCTTCTTGAGGTGACTGCATGAAAACAGGCTTGGTTAACACCTCATACAGAGATGACAGCCTGTGCTGCTTCCTGCTGTTTGTTGAGGGCATTGGAGTCTTTTTCAGTCTGCTCCTGCAGCATGATGTCTTTCTCTTTCTTTTCATGGGTCAGTTTTCTGCCTTTCCCTTGTGGTCAGAGGACACTGGAGATGCCCTCCCTGATCTCCTGGAAATACTTGAGTACTTGAGCATAGAACAGCCCTGCTGTTGCTGTCATCATGGCAGCACATTTTGGGTGTGGGAAGAGGGATATCGAGCATTGATAAACCTTGTGTGATAGAGTGGATGGCTGTTGCTGTGTGTCACTTCAGTCCTTATCATGGAAAGCATTTCTTCATTCCCATCTTCCATTTCCTTTGCTCTTTTTTAAGAAGTCAAAACGTTCTGCCTATGAAAGTGGGGAAGAACACTCAGCAAAATACAGCAACTCCAATAACTCAGGTAACTACAGAGAGAAGAGCTTGCTTCTACACTGCTATGTCAATGTTTTTTGCTGTTGCTGTCATTTTCTTGCCTAAAAGATCCAGGGTCACCATCAGTTTATACATTAATATTGGGGTATCAGAGCCTAATATTTTGAGTACTTAATAATTGCTAAGTCAAGGGCTGAAAAATATTGCCAGTGTTAGATTTTCAGCTGCCTAATATAAAGCAATATGTCCTTTCTTCTGTACCCTTTCCTCCAAAACCATCAGTCTCTTCATTCAGTTTGACATTTGAGTGGAGTAATAACAAAATCCATTATTTGGGCCATTTATGAATGCAGCCGTTGGGCAGAAACTCCATGGTGATCTGTATTCTATAGTAAGGTGTTGAGATGAATGAGAAAATGATCTTCAATTGCTGCTTCAGTGCCAAATTCTAGAACAACAGAGCCTTTGACAGGTCTTCATTTAGTTAAAAAGAATGATTGGTACTACCAAAGAGTTTTACAGAGTTGACCTGCCTGGCTAAAATGTGTCCAAAAGCAGCTTATTGTCAGATACCAGAGTAACTTGTGGAGTACAGGAACTGACTGAAAATCATCTTTTGGAAGGAGAAATGAGGTGCCAACCATGCAGTGGCACAAGTCTTAAGGAGAACAGAAGTTGGATGCTGAAATCCAACAGCCTAAGCAACAGAAAAGAAGTGTTTCCCCTTGAGGAATGCTGTTGAGTGCACTGCTTCTGTGTTTGGACCTCTTCTGGTACTGTGAAGTGTCCCCGTTCAGATCAGGTCTGAGTGGCACTGTTTGTATGAATGGGAATCTTTTTCCCAAGATTTAAGTGGAAGCAGGATTGGATCTTCAGTCAATAAAGTTGGCTTGTCTCCAACAATCTGTCTTGTCTGACTGTGTTGAATTTTCACATCACAGCTTTAGTTACTAGACTGTTGTTTTGTTTAGCAGGCTCTGGGGCGAGTTCCCCATTAACATCTCCATCATCCCCCACTCCACCCTCCACAGCAGGTAAGTTCAAGAGTCATTACAGTGTTTGTCTTTATCTTTGTTTTTCCTTCACCCATCCCCAAAACTGTGGGTGTTATTCCCAAGGATGGTTAAGGGATGCTGGTTTTCAAGGATGGAACACAGAGATTACATTCATCTTCTGTCAGCCTGAGTGTTGGCATTTACCCTCTTTTGAGGGCCTCATAGGGAACCTTTTAATACTGTTCTTTTTCATTTAATAACCTTTCTTGAGATATATGTGATGTGATTTATCCATAGAGTGTTAAGTGCTTACTTCAAAGTCTGTATTGCTCCAGCTTTACCTGTGCTGCTACTTTCCAGACATTTTCTGGCCCTTAGGTTGCAATATGCATTTGTTCTGGTGTTAATGGTCTGTTGACTCCAAAGTACTGTTTGTTGATCCCTTGTTTTTCTGAATTGTCTCTGTACACCTGTACTGCTGTGCTGGAGTTTCAGAAGTTTTGGGTGTAACAAATTCAGTGACTTAGACTGCCTAAGCCCTGTTCTGCTACAGAGCAGAAGTGCTAGCACCAGGAGAACTGGTAGGAACAAGTCAGAAACTGATTTGGCTTAGAAATAATATCTTGATTATTTTTGGCCAGTTCCCACTTCCAGTTTGCTGGGTAGTTTTGCTAGGACACGTGGCGGGAAGTGGTGAAGAATCTGCTTGAGTTGGTGATAGAAATGCTCATGAAAATTTGATTACAGATCTGAATCTTGAGCATTAACAGGCATGTTAATGGTCTGAAGGGCTAGAAGAGGAGCACTGGCAAGCATTTAACAGTAAAGGTGTTAAAGGAATATATTTCAGGAAGGGAAGCAGTCCATGGCATTGCTGTTTGTTACCGTGACTCATGCCATGATTCCTGGTCCCAGGAACTTTCTACACAGCACAACTTGTTAATTGAAGCCATGCAATCAAATTTGTGTTTGCTGCGGATGGTCTTTCATAGGAGGCTGCAGTCTGTGAAGCAGCTGAAATAAGTCATGCTGAAATTCAAATTGGTCGTTTCTCCTTCAAGCTGAGGGTATGTCGAAGTGTGTATTTCATGAATTAACTTCTCCCAGTTAGTCTAAACAAGAAGATTGCTGTTATGGTGTTGCACAGTAACAGGGCTGTTTTCTGGGTGCACTGCACTTAGCTGGAGGGTTTATTTCACATTCTGAATGCTTTAAAAGGGAAAGCAGCTTAAAATGCAAAGGAAAACCTTATGCCTCTAAGATGGACAGATGTGTAGAAACGATTTTCTTTCTGCAATGCAATTAATGTTCCTGACCTTTTAACTTTAAAACATGTTAACCAGATTGAAAGCTTTTTCAAGTTTTGAGCATATAATGCAGGTTTATGTGTAGAGGTGGCTCAAATGTCTCAGAATGGCTGAAGTTTGGGCTCAAAACTTGGCTGTTGTTCAAACTACACTGTCAGTGTCAGTCATCCTGCTGCCATGTGTTCATGGTGACGCCTGGTGACAGCCTGCTCTGACACAGTGCACCTCAGTGCTGCCTTCACGATGGGAAGTGCTTTAGTGTGCTGATGGCATCCATGCATTTGATTAGGTGTAAAGGCAAGTGTCATCATTTCAGGAATGCTATTGTGAGTAGAATACATAGAAGAAACTTCAGATATTAGCTCTAAGAGAAAGCTAGTGGGCTTGATTCCCCCCCCAACAATGTTGTAGTTTTAGCTGTTCTTAGCAACTATGCTACTGGTGACTTGGTGAAAGCCTTACTGGCCCCACGGGAGGACTTTCTTTGTGACAACTGATGGATCTATAGCTTGTATCTCTCTCTTCCAGTTTCCGTGTACTTGCTAACAATATTTACATCTAAACCAAAATTGCTTGTGGGTATCAGTGTGGTGAGGTGACTCTCAGAAAGGGAATGAAGCTTTTTGGTTTGGTTGTGGTTGTGTTAGAATCGTGGCATGCCAAAGCATGTTGCTGGTGTGATACCATGGCAGAGTGAAGGCTGGCATGGAAAAGTGTAGCCAACAGAAGCTCTTGCCCTCTCCTGGCCTGTAACCAACCAAATCAATGTAGTATGTGGGTACGTGTAGTGCCAGAGACACTGCCCAGAGGGCTCCAAGCTGATATGCCTGGAGGAAGTAATCTCTTTAAAGAGGTTTCTCACATGTTGAAACATGCTTTGTCTCTGAGTAGAGGCTTTGAGAGACTTAATTTGCAGTAGAGTGTTTGGTATAGTCAGTGCAAGACACACTAAGAAAGAAAATGATCACTGGCTTTAGCTGTCTTTGTAATGATAGCTGCAACTGTAGGATTGAATGCATAACTTTGAGGGGAAGGGTAATCCAGGCTCTCATGGCCTTTTCTTATTAACTAGGATGTTTTGGGCTGGTTTGGTTGCAGATATTTGGCTAAATATAATCTTTGGAATACATTGTTTAGATTGTGACAAATGATCCTAATGGAACTTCCCGTATTTCTGACCTTCTCCCTTGAATGTTTGATTCTTTTTTCTCCACTTGCACAAGTCTTTGCAGTCCAGAAAGTCTGGTGTTTGTCTTTGTGGCTAGGAGCTGTGCTAGGATCAGAAAGGATGCAGAACACTGTCATATGGGGTTTTTAAACTTCACTGCATCTTCTCTGAATGCAGTAAGCCCAGAAAATACCGGTGAGCTCCTTTACGATAAAGTGCTGGTTTTGCTTCCCTGCTGGAATAAAAGTGAGAGAGTTGTAGCTATAGTTTTCTGTGTCAGTTGTTCTGAATCCTTCAGTATGACACACGGTTTATAGACACCCATATGGTGCATCTTTTCTGCTCTTCACCTTTATGGAAGACAAAGTGACTGCTTTAGCAAGTGCTGTTCTTGGGTGTGTCTGGTTCATGGAGTGTAAGTGTAACTACAGGTGCTAACACGGCAGGGAGTGTTCCTTGAACTGAATGGATTTCGTCTTCTATGGCTAATCTTCCTGCAGATTTCTTGCTAAATCTCTAAATGCACTTTAATCCTGTAAAGCTAGAATTCTGGCATGTGCAACTGAAAGCATGTGTGTTGTATTTGTTCATGAAGAATAATGATGCTTCTAGCATGGAAAATTGTGGTTCGTTATTCAGAATCAAAGCTTTGTATACTTAAGATGAAACAGTCAATCTGCTGCCCTCATATTTGTCAGTGAATAAGAATGTCTTGATTTTTGTACTAACTTTTCAGCTAACAGTATCTGTTGTTCTCACTTTGACACGAGAGCCAGTTGATTAACTTGTGTCCTCTCTCTTTCTCTGCTGTCTTCAATAGAGCATGCATCATTTTGAACGTGAATTTTCGGAAAAGTAAGCTAATGCTGATTTATCTCTTTAAAGATGCTCTGTTTCTGGATGGGAAAGTTGAATGGAAATCTTGAACTTGCTTAGTATTGGGAGGGAATAGAATAAAAAAAGATCTGAATGTTGTTATGGATTATTTTAATGAAATACAGCATCTTTAAAAACTCTATCACTAAAATGATTTTCTTTGTTTGCATCCCGTTCTCAGCCAAGTTTTTAATGCTGTTTGCACAATAACTGTCACTTTAAATTCATAATTAAGTTTTTGTTTCAATTCAGGCATCAAGTTTACAGCATCTGATTTACTTCCTATTCCTTTTAACACACTCTCTTAACAAAAATGTCCCTGTAAAAAAACCTTGGTAAGTTCTTGTTTGAGTGTTTTATTCTTACAACTGCATGAATGGGTTAAATGTGTGTTTGCAGGCAACTTCTTCCAACATAGGTATTGGTAAGGTCTAGTTATAACTGAGAACTTCTCTCAAATGTTTTTTTCTAGTAAATACAGGAAAATATCTCACTGTTGGACAGAACAAATTAATCCATAGATGGGTACACCAGGGTGAACTAACATTTCCTTTGAACCACTCGTGTCGAGAAGGGAAGGTCATCTTGGTTTTGATTGACTAATGGAAATTAATTTATTTGAAGATTTTCAGAACCACTCTCTTAGTTAATGGGTTCAATAAGTAATGCTCATAGCTAGTCAGATATCATCCTAAAAACAACGTGTATTTATGTTTTAAGGCAGAGCTCAGGTGTTCAGAGTATCATTGTCCGTAATCAGACTCCCAGGAGTTTCACTGTGTGGAATTTAAGCAATTTCCTGGAAAGAAGGTGGCCTCTCCTCCTACTTTCCCTGTCTTTTCTGACCCCCTCGTAAAATAACCAGACCAACCTTTGAAGATAGCACATGGAATATTGACCTAATAATACTTAGTGATCCAAGATCACTTTGTTGCTTTTTTTGCCCCTCTCTCTGTCAAATGTGTACCTTCCTTCATTTCAATGTTACCATTGTGTTTATATTCCAGAGTCCTGGCCATTTTCATGGTCATTCTCTACTGCATCTTGCACAACTACCTGCATAGCCTCTTCAGCTTCACCTTGCATTTCCAGCCAAAAATCTTGCCTTTGTTCTCTGCAGTTCTTGGATCTCTTTCAAGCTATTTCATTTATGATGAGCTGATCTTGGCTCTTTTACAGCAGTTCATCTGATCAGTTTGGGATAGGTTGGTTTGCCAGTCCTACGGTGTTCTGCTCTGGCTGCTTTAACCACAAAAGTGGTTGCTTTAACTGTCCTTGGACTTGTTCTTCTGTGGAAAAAGTGTCAAGGTTTGCTTTGCTGCAGCCTGCTGGCAATCTCTGAACACATGAGGATCAGCAGGGCTCTAACCTAGGGGATGGTTTTACAGTCTTTCTAATAATAAATGGACTTACATCTCTGGCTAGTGTAAAAAGTAGATTTGGGTAAGTTAGATGGCCCCAAGACACTAGTAGCAACTTACTTCAGTTTGTGCTGACACTGTGTAATGCTTTGGTAACTGAAGAGAACAGTTGATCCACATGTAACAGGCACGTTAGGTTGTTTCAGCTGGTCTCTGGTATTTCTACTAGGACTTGAGTGTTTCCTGTGGAAGGGAGAAGAGGAAGATGAGCCCAATATATACTTCCATGTTTTGTTGTCAGAGAAGGTGATTTTCATGCCAATGACAATTTCTCCTGAAGAGCTGGAAGTGCTGCAATCACAGCATATAGTGGTAACACACACTAGTAGGATGGAATGCTTTGTGTGAATACTCTGCATTTTCAGCTTGCTCCTACATGGGAGAAGTCTCTCTTCAAAGATCAGCACAAATAGAAAACGAGACAGCTCTCAGTTATGACTTTCACCTTATTAATTACTTTGTCTATTAGTAGTTAGTCTGAGAGCAAGTGTTAGTTAGGAATTGAGAGAGAAGAGCACAGAGAACTCTTTCTGCTTTTTTTTGGTGGCTGAGCTTAATCCTTCATCAAATACCTCTTGTGTCTTGGTGCCATGTTCTTTAACTACCTGGTATATTCTAACTTCATAGCAAGAAGTTCTGCCTCAGTAACCACAGTCTCTTGGTTGGCCTCATGTTTTGTGTTGTATCATAGTTTTTGCCACTCAACAGCACATTCCTCTTTGTAGACTGAAACTACCAAAAGCAAGTGGTGCTTCCTTTTTTACTGTAGGTGCCATCTGTCTCTCTCCAGTCTTACACTACGGAATAACTTAGGATCTAGATGATCATAAGTTAAAATTCAATGTTGCATAGTTCTAAGATATTAATCATTATGCCCATGCTCATTCCAGAATATATGAGACAACACAGGGACATTATTCCCCACATTACTGCAAATGCCCCCTTCACCTGGATGTCCTGTGCAACAGCAAGGGGTCACCTCTGAAGTACTTTGCTTACTCAAACATGGATCTTGGATTATACTTGTGTAGAAATGATGGAGTAAAGATCAGGGTGTTTGGGAGAGCTGTTTGGGGCAAGCAAGGCCACCTGCCTGGATCTGAGCTGCCAGGAAACACTTCCACACAGGCCCTCGCTGCTGGGCCAGTGCCTGCAGGCAGTGCTGTGGGCTCTGGCTTCCCAGAGTCAGGACATGGAGGCATGATGTGGCTGTGACTGGGATAAAAAGGGACAGAGGGCCAAGGTGACTGGTGGGAGCATGAGAGGCAGGCAAGTGGTGTGAGTGCTAGATGGTTGTGATTCCTTCTCCCTGTGAAGCATTTATTGCAACACATTCGGATAAAGTCTGACAGTGCTGTGGAAGTGGGACACGCTTTCAGAAAACTCTATCTGCAGTTAGTACTTTAAAAATAGAATATAATCTGACAAAGCAGGCATCACAAATATTATAATGACCTGGTCCTTTGTAAGAATGAAAGTTAGTAATGTACATATGAACAGGTGGTAAAGAGTTGCTTATAGTCTTTGTTCATGACCCAGAGAGCAAACTGCTACACTGGGGCAAAGAAACCGAAGCTGGGAAGTCCTGTTAAGTGATCTCCATTTTCCTTAGTGCAAGATCACATTTGAGTCATGTTTTGCATCCCCAAGTACTGAGGCACTTCAGGCTGCATTTCAGAGGTGTCTCAGATGACACGACTCACCTGCAGATAGAGGGATCTGGTCACTGTGGCTTTTCTCACCTGTTCTGTTCTTCACCCTCCATTGGCATTCAAGGAATGACATGACTAGTACAGGACTGCCCAAGTCCAGCCAAGAGCATAATCAAACTACATCTTCTCTCCTCAACAGGAGCATCGTTGATACCCCCAGCACCACCACCACCTCCCGTGCCACCAGCAGCTCCTCCTCCAAGAGCAGAGGTGCCAACGCAGCCAAGCCTGCAGCCTGACGTCAGTGCAAGCCGAGGAGCCTTACTCAGCTCCATCCAAAACTTTCAGAAAGGAACTCTGAAGAAAACACAGACCTGTGACTACAGTGCTCCCAGGATCAGCTGAGGCCACTGGTCACACCAGGATTGAATTCCCTCTTCCCTCCTGTGCTGTCTTGGAACAAGACCCTCCAGACCAGAGACTGATCCACCAGCCCATTGTGCTGTAGCACCTATTACCCTGATTTCAGCTTTTCTTGAGCAGCAGCACCAGCCTGTCTGGATTGTGGTGCTGTGTTAAGTACTCCATTCTTTACTTGGTTTCAAGAACTTTGTTCTCTAGCTTCAGCTTCAGGGGAACAGCAACTTCTACATGGCTGAACAAAAACCTGAGAATAGGAATGACCACGATGATGGTGAAGAATGCATTTTGTTTTTCTAGCTCTATTTCACCCCATTTTCCAATGACAGGAATGTAGTTCTAGTTTGCTTAGTTTTTCCAGAACTTTTCATGCAGTTGTAACTCATCTTAGTTCTTGCTGCACTGAATCAGTAAGTTGGTGTTTTTTTTATTTTTAGATAATCCAACACCCTCCCTCCCCCAACCCTTAGTGTACTGCACAGGTGAGGGAACTGGAGAATTAAATCTTATTCCCACTATATTTGCTGGTGGAGTAAAAATGCTGTTTGATTAAACTTGTCTAAATGGACATCCTACCTGTAACTCTAAGGGGAAGTGTTTTTAAATGAGGAACCAGTTGAAATGGGAGTTAATAGGGCACTGGGATATTATTCATGATTTAGTTAAATGCAAAGTTACTTCAAGTTAATTCTACAGCTTAAACTTTATTGAAAGATCCTTTTTGATTAAAAAAAAAAACTTAAACAAATTGCACTTTAAAGGATTATAGATAATCCATTTTTTAAATTCAAGTACATCAGTGTTTGTTACTATGCAGAGAATGTCTGTACAAAGTTTCATGTAACCTGTGATACTCGGTCCTTTTTATTAAAATGTTAATGGAATTCCTTCAGCAGTGTGGTGGTGGGTATATCCAGCTGGGATTTCACCTGCAGGCCAGACTTCCTAAGAATCCAGCAGCACTTCTCCTAAAAGGAATACAGTGAAGGGCATCCCTGGTCCTTGACTGAAATAGGACCCAAGCTTTTTTTGTCTACTTACAGAGTAAGTATCACCTCTGCAGCAGGTCAGGGGCTGTGGAGTCAGTGACACTGCACAGACTCCTGGCAGCTTCCACTCTGTACCCAGAGCTGCTGAGCAAGGCCTGGCAGGGCTCCTGCTGCCTGTCAGGACTGGCCCCCCAGCTAAACCCTGCCATGTGGTGGCCTGTCTGGAGGCTGCTGCCAGGCTTTCCCAGCTCATCAAGCATGATCGGTGCTGCTGCTGCAGACCCAGGCCTCCCTGTGTCTGGATACAATAACTTACTTTGCACTGTAGGAACTGTAGTTTGACCCTGCCACTGTTAGCCCACGTGTTGAGTTGAAAAAAATAATAATACATAAAGCAAAGCATCTGGACAGGTACTTTTTTATCACTGTATGTGGTAGCTAGTGAAGAAAAATTCAGTAGTGCTTCCCACCACATACTGATCTTTGTGTGCAGAAGCTTCCCTGACTGAGCAGAGTGCTCCTCAAACTGAACACACCAGCCACCCCTTAGCCCATACTCTTGAGGCCACGTTGTGCAGGCACCTGCACTTCACTGAATGGAAAAGCAAGGCTTCACTCACTCCAGTTTCATCATTCACCTTTAATAAGCCTTGTGGCCACGGGCTCCTGGAGAGCTGCAGAGCACATTCCCAGGCTGGACTTCTGCTCACTGCAGTTCATCACTCAGCCACTACTACAGGCAGTTTAACACAAGCCAAGCAGAAACAGAAGGATGTTTTTTTTTATCCCTCACTCTGAATTTAGAATTTTTTCTCCACATACAATAGCACTAACCCACCTGCATGGTTAACAAACAAGCATTACCACATTGTTGCTTATACGAACTGTGGCTGAGAGGGTCACCCCATATAAATATTCTGGGAGGCAACTTTCCCCACTGTACAAAAGTTCATGGAGTTATACAACAAAGTTATGCACACGACTTGCCCTACACCATTGATACTTTTTAAAGCAAGACTTTAAAACGTATTTACAGCTTAGATATTCAAAGCTTTCTTCACTGCAAATATGATATCCTTCACTTGAGGGATGCAGTTATCTTCTAAAATTTTTGCATAAGGCATAGGCACATCTGCACCGGTCACACGCACAGCTGGAGCATCCAAGTAGTTAAAGGCAGATCCTGGAACAGAAGACAGTTGTCAGGTTGCCATGCACGGTGATTTTCTCTCAAATTCAGAATATAATATTTACACAATTTTGTTCCTGTAGGTCTAATATTCCAGAGTTAAACGAGCAGTTCCTACTCATTTATCTTAATGTACTATGGTTTAGACAAAAAACTATCATCCTGCTTCTCACATGGTCAAGTTCCTGGGATAAGAGTTACTTGCAACAGAATATGATCTGGATCCACCTGTGAAAGCCTCTAGAGCAAGACAGGTAGGCTCAGAACTCCTCAGATACAAAATTCTACTTTGTCTTCATCTGGCTTTATCAAGAAGCCATGAGGATTCACACTAGAGATGTGCATATTTATGTATTTAGACTAGACATGTAGCCATGTACTGCAGGACTCTCTACCTTCCATGATCCTGGCACAGATTTCAGCTCCTACTCCAAACTGTGGCCAACCTCCTTCTACAGTGACAAGATGGTTTGTCTTTACAACACTGGCTTCCACTGTTTCAATGTCCATTGGTCGAATGGTTCGCATATTTATTACCTAAGATAAAAAAAACCACAAAGGGGATTGAGTTTTGTCCTTTAGCACTCTGACTTTCAAGACAAGACTAGTTAATAAAATTTCTGACTTTTTATCCTGGCAGAGACTGTGCAGAACAGTTCCTGGTGGCTCTCAGAAGTCACTCTGAAAATTATTAGCAGTTCTGCCTTAGTTTTCTGCTGGAAAGGACATGAAATCCGTGTGCTTTACTTACTGACTGTTAAGGCATTTACCAACAGAAGAAGCTTGTAGTTACAACACTGAAGTTTTGCACAAACTGAACCAGAAGACCCTCCTGCTTTTCTCCCCTCCAGGTAAAGAGAAAACCAACAGCACCCCCACCCACCTCACACTCTACACCTTCTTTAGCAAGTACAGCAGCTGCTTCCAAACAGTGGCCAACGGGTCTTGAGTGTGACACTAACGTAACGTGAGTTCCTAGGACAGAAGCAAGTGTTAAAAAAAAAATTCCATCAGTTTAATATTTAAAGCTTTTTCCTGGACCTCAGGCTCCTTTCAAGTTAATATTATGATTTAAGTTTGTTAAAATTTAGTATTCTACAGCCATATGTGGCATGAAGAGTGGCAGAGAAAGACTTTATGAAGATGCAACTTTACTCTCTAATTCAGGGAACTGAGGAAATACTTAATACATTTTTCAGATTATCTTATTCAAACATTGATATAATTCAGTGGTAAATTCTAAGCAAACAGACTGAAATATTGCAGTACTCTCTTCTGTGTTCTTGACAAAAAATACATACTAAGGTGAGGAAAAGTTTTTGAGACATCTCCACACTAAGGAACAGATCTTTTGGAAAGATACTGTTTTAGATGAGATACAGAGAATCAAGTAACTTTTCTTTATGTGGGCAACAATTAAGTATATTACAAGATAAAATAACACTGGAATACTTTAAGATTTGAGGTATTTTCCTGTGCCCCATGACAGCAGCATTCTGAATAGCTAAGAGGTTAAAAAAAGTCCCTGAGCAGTTTGGTTAATAAGGAAACAAACTATATTCTCAGCTTACCTTGTCTTTCTATTTTAGCTTTTCCAATTGGGACAACAAATTCCTTTGATTGTGCCTGTTCAGACAATTCAAAGGGAACACCATACAGTAATTCATTTTCCAGCATCACAACTAGAAGAAAACATACTTGGATTAATGTGTACATCTGCAGGCAGAGGAGTGTGCTGATGTTTAATGGTACTGCAGCAGACTGGCTCAAGATACCAAGCCCCTCTAGGCAACAAGGACTTCAGCATGTTTGCAGAGGCAATTAAAAGCAAATCAGAGTCTACTTCAATGGTGAATTACTTTAAAAATTGTCTATAATTAAGTCTTAAATGAAATCAGATATATAACTTTTGGTACATCATGGTAGAATCACTGGTTTTGGACGCAAAACCAAAGACCTTTCTATGTTTCTGAGAAATCAAGACTGCCTTGCTTTTCATTAATGCCATTCTGGATTTATCCATGTCATGGACTGTCAGAATGAGTTTCACAGACACTGCACAGGCAGGAGCTCCTCCTTTAAACCCCATTATGATCTCTTCATAAATGCTGCCTGTGAGGTTCCTGATTGGTACCAAAGTGGCACTGAAGACACACAACTGGCACATCAGCCTAGTGCAAAGCCTGTCAGGAACTAGCTGAGTACCTGAAACAATACTTCTGTGCCTCTGTGAGTACCCTACAGCTGCAGTGAAGCAACCTTAAGTGTTTTAGGTTGCAACAACACTTTTTTATGGTTTCAAATGGGGCAGGAAGGGCAGACAGACATTCCTTTCAGGATGGAGTGCTGGGTGTTGCTGTGATCTGCCTGTGTTCACCTGGATTATCGTCCCGGATTGCTGCTTTCAGCAGCCCTTTGGCATCCTCTGAGCTCCAGGGGCTGACCACTTTCAGGCCGGGGCAGTGCCCGTACCAAGCAGCGAAGCACTGGGAATGCTGAGCAGCCACTCCTGCCGACGCCCCGTTGGGACCCCGGAAAACGATGGGAACGCTGATGGCTCCTGCTGACATGTAACAGGTCTTGGCAGCAGAGTTTATCACCTGGTCAATTGCTTGCATGGAGAAGTTGAACGTCATGAATTCGCACACCGGTCTCAACCCTGCCTATTAAAGATAGTAAAATACAGATGAGTGTGTTTTCATGTTAAACAACAAAAAGCTCCAGCGTTGCAGTGGGAGGGACATTTACAAACCATCGCGGCTCCCACGGCGATTCCTGCAAAGCCCATCTGGAAGAGAAGGAAAGCAGGGATCAGGAGAGGGGCAGCAGCTGGTGCAGGGACAGCCGGGGGGGCAGACAGCGCAGCCTCACCTCCGAGATCGGGGTGTCCATCACCCTCTTGTCCCCGTACTTCTTCCAGAGGCCCCTGGAGATCTGCAGGGCAGGGGGGAGGAGTCAGGCCCGGCCCCAGGCCCCTTCCCGGCCCGCTAACGGCACCCACGCACCTTGTAGGCGCCATCGTACTGGGCCACCTCCTCGCCCAGCAGGAAGACGCGCTCGTCCCGCTCCAGCTCCTCATCCAGCGCCTGGT